GTTTTAGCAATCCCATCTTATCTATTTTCGCTAATTCTTGCCAAGTCACTAAAAATAAAGCTATCTTAAAGCTCGTCAAAGTGCTTCAAGAGCCATTTTTATAGTTTTATTTTTGGTGTCAAAATGTTTACTTCACCTAGGATATTTTGGTGCCGTGGTTCTTTTTTATATATGATACATGCAAATAAATATTTAAACAATTATGAAAAAAATATGCGCTTTGATTCCACTGCTAAAATTATATCTCACCCTGTAAGAAAATCTCAAATCTAATGTAGATCGCGCGACATAATTTTCTCTGTGATTTATTGGGATACCATATTATGTATTCGAATCGTCGTAGTGATGACTGGATACGTGCTTTGTGACGTATAAAACTAAAGAGATTTTCTTTAAAGCCGTATAAAAGACCGTATAGTTTTACGACAATCATTAACCGCCTGGTTCTTCTTATGTATGTAGCTGCAACCTTTACATCGGAGTTGGTTATGGCATTGTAAAATTATACAGTTTGCATTACGTATACGGGCTGCACGTGCATACGCATTATCGAATATGCATTATGCAAAATTTTATGAAAAAAACAATTACCCGACATCGGGCGACTCAAGAGGATAATTTAAATAAAACGATGCTCCTCCTTACGTGTTAAGGCGTTTGAAATGCTCTAAAAGCGTAATAGGCAGATACATTGCGCTTTAACAGTAAAAAAAAAGAGGAATGTTCTAAATGTCATATTCTATGACAAACCTAAGCATGCAGGCATCTTCTTTGTAAAAATAAAATATAAATTGATTATATTTGGTAATTACGCTACAAAGGAACAAACAAATAACGGAATCTCAAATTCAATATTTTAATATTTTTTAAAGCAATTTTAACTTTTAATAATAATTGGATAAACAAGGGACTATCGATAATGAAATTAACAAGTAAAAAGAGGCTTTGAAAGTTCAACGCGGTTGACGGTGCGTAAGTTAACGTTATATCGATCTTTAATAACTGCTAGGATGCATGGATAATTATAAATCGGATGTTTCGGCTCCTCTTTGAGCCGTCTTCAGCGATGCGGTAACAATTAAATCAAAATGATCTCACGTTATCCAGCGAGAAATGAGGTACTCGAGAATTCTACTCACTTATTTCTCGCCGGAGAACGTGAGATCATTTTGATTTAATTAATTGTTACCGCATCGCTAAAGATGGCTCGAAGCACAGCCGAAATGTCCGATTTATAATGTATCCCTATACTTACGCACCGTCAACCGATAGAACTCTCAGAGCTCCTTTTCACTTGTTTTAGTCTTGACTTCAACAAAATTTAATAAAAGTTCCATCATTGCAAAATAGGTTCCTAATTAAATTCTCGCTGGATAAAATATCTGCTAAAACCTAACGCAAACGTTATGAAGCATCAAGAGCACAATATAATTCACTGTTTCAAAGCAATATCTTCTTGATACTAGAACTAGATTATACCACGTCACATCGTAAAAGCAAATGCATTTAATATTGTTAAATTTAGTATAGAGAGTCGTGACCAACGGCTATATGATTCACGTAAATTCGTGAAAGGTAAAATTCACAGTTGCTCGGCTATAAGAGGGAAACTGGCTGGCGTAATTAGTTACATGCATCATAGAGCTTCGTTCGAGCATGAAGGGGCGATATGAAACGAATTCTTCTATCCGATCGACCGCGTTTGCGCAAAGCAACCGCAGCAACATTTATGCCGTTTCCATTGCGATGCTGTTAGTCTTCTGCGATCCCGCTACTTTTGTATCGTTTTCTGCTATCCCGCTCCGCGCTTCGATCCGCGAGAGTTCACGGAGTATTGAGCGAAAGGAACGCGTAATTCCTGAAGATTAGTGAGTAGTAAACGCGCGGCTTTTAAAACGCCACAGTTAAAAAGCGGGTTTACAGCGCATCGATGCCGTGCATCAAACCGTACAAAAAAGCTATATATAGCTTTGAATAAAACCTCCGTTGTAACGTTAAATGCGCGCAAATGTAACCGACCGATTAATATCTTCAATGTTTCATACGCATATTTACGAACGATCTCGGTTATCGGGAATAAAGCGTTCCTCGCGCGGACTGTTCGCGAATATGTTCCCACGAGAAATACATTTTCAGTTACAACAGCGTCATAAAACCATCGCGTTTCACAGCGACGTTTTTCGCGCGGTAACTCAGTATACGTGTCGCCAATATACCGCGTGATTATACTGCGTATAGAAAAATGAAGCTGAGACAAAAAGAAAAATCCGCGGAGACATTTTATATACCGTATTAATCTCGGCATAAAAGTGCTTCGTCTCTCCGGCGATTTCGTTGCGTAAATCGATAACAACAATGGGCGTTGTTACACCTCGTAGAAAATTTAATAGTTACTCTTTGCTCAGAAAAGTTATTTTATCTCTTAATAAATTGCAGCACAAATACATTACACGCGGTGGTACAAAAATATTTTTAAACGTTTGAAATAATTGCATCATCGATTATCAAAGGATATATAATAATGGTTTATTTATAGGATATATATAATAACGGTTTGAGAGAAATAGATGTAAAATTAAGAATGTTAATTCTTGTATGTTAATGTGTGTATTAAACACAATGTTATATATAACTAATTGAATATATAAATTAAATATTATAATATAATTAAACTTTTTATATAAAGTAGAAAAAAATGAGAAAAATTTCGATTCAATTACGTCAGCCTTTTCTATTACAATCGGAATTTTGTATAACCGGCAAAGGGGCTAAAGAACTCGCGGCACATCGGGGGATCGACGCCGCAGTGCGATTGCCGGGAAAACAATCTCCCGGATGCGAGATCGATGATCGTAGCGCGGTAAAATCACGCGCTCTTCTGGGCTTTACGATGGTGCGATCGACTCGTGCCTAGCACGCTTCGCGGTCCGGGCGCGGTCGTAAATCGGCCGCGATACGGCCGCGAAATTACACGGACGTATACCGGCGTTACAGCCACGGGAGAGCCCGCCTAACCCGGCAGATTCCATGAATCCCGATCGCATAATTCATCTCGCGGGCAGCCGTCGATCCCGCTGAGGCGTTAACGTCAGCGCCGCGCGTTTCATTCCATCTACGCCTATATCAGTAAAATTAAATCTCTTCGGCCATACTCACCACGGTACCACGTAAAATTGCAAATATTTAGCAAATTTGAAAGATATTTCTCGAATAGCCATCAAATAGATTTTATAGATTGCACGAAGTATTAAAAACAAATATACTCATCTCATGTATAAAATATAAATCTCATCATAAAAAAATCAATCTCATATATAAAATCTAAATCTAATTATTTTATATAATATAAGAATTTCCAAAATTCAATTTTAGAGATTGTGATAACAAATTAATAAAGAGAGCGCAGATTAATAGAGAGAGTCTAAACTTTTCTCGCTAATCCTATATATTACGTAAAGCCCAGAATTCTCTAAAATTATCTTATATGATAAAATCGATATCTTTCGACGCTATTAAAAGCGTCATGTGGTGAATCACAGAATTAAATAACCGGAGTATTGTCTTACGCGCGTGATTAAATGGAGAATTTATGGATATTATCTATTTTAATTGCAACGTCACGATTCTGTTTCGTTTTCGCAATACCTCAAGTTTAATAAACCCCTTCATCGCAGCTACTATACGCATCTGAATATTGAAACTCGCATATCTCGTTACATTCGCTTACGTGCATAATTAGCGTTAACCGATGCGCGTGCATATGTATATGCGCGATTGGTTGCTTGCTACAATAACGCGCGTATCGCATCTATTCCAAATATTAAACACAAGACATGAAAGCTAATTGTAACGACACTAAATAATAAATATAATTTTAAATCACAAACGTTGAACTACATAAGTAACAAAAGTTTATTGGCACGTGTATTCAAGCAAATGTTACTTTTATTGTTAAATATTAAGCAATTGCGATAATTGAAAAAGAGATTAAGATATTACACACACAAATCTGAGAATGGGACTAAAGTTTCTCCACGAGATTGAATTTTATTAAATATCATCTCCATAATCTTTCTTTTTCTCGAATCTAACTCTATATTTTTCAAAAAATTTTTCTTATATTATACTGCAATGTAATGTGCCACAATAAAATTCGTTTTTGCGATACATAATGTTTATTCGTATTAAAAGAAGATTAATAATTACTTTACTATATATATTTTTATCTCCTCGGAAATTACAACTGCGATACAAACGTCGATGATCGTCTCAAGATGATTCATTAAACTGAGATTTCCGAAAATGCGGCGCACGAAAGCGCTCGGAAACTGGATCGTGCCGCGTCTATGAGTATCCTCAGTCGAGGAACTTCGCAGTTTCTCCCAAAATTAGCGAAACTCGTTTACACCGCGAGACAGGTAGTTTCGAGACAGGGCCGTTATAACGACGAACTCGACAGAAATGGTATACACGCGTCTACGTGCTCTTGGTGCAAGAAGAACAGGAAGGGAGAAGACAGAAGGGAGAAGGAGGAACAGAGGAAGAAAAGAGGATGAGAGAGAGAGAGAGAGAGGGAGGGGAGACGCAGCGACAGAGAACGGCTGATGCTCTAAGATACTGCAATTTCGGAGGGGCCGTTAACAAGGCACGTTACCAAGCACCGTTTCTGGTCGGTTGAAACTGATGAACATTCGGAATATTGCTGCTTCTCGGCGCGTATAAATTCCTCTAAATTCATCGAATTTGACATACGTGTCGGCTATACTAAAATTACATCATCGTAAAAATATAAATATAGAAATCTGAGCTATATAGACGCGCCGCGCCGTTCATATTATTAATTTTAAATCCCATTAATTCCCCATTCGTAGCCGTTACGTACATCAAAAACCGTATAAGTGAGAATAAAATTTCGTATCTTGAAACGAGTCGAGTTATATTTATAACAAATGATCAATTCTGTAAGTAAGAAATAAAATGAAAAACAGAGGTTTACTCACAAATCCGTAAGTTGCTCCACCATCAACCGATGTTCTTCCCGTGCTCCTCACAGATGTTAATCGCACTCATACGACACTCATTCGCAAACACGATTAGCTACGCACTAATTAAGGTCTTCACACATAAAATCGCGTAAGGACGTAAAACGTGCATGATACTTTCGGCATTCCCGTCGTTGATCACACACGACACGAATTTTACTCCGCTACGACGGAGTATTGTAACGTAAAATATTTACTTTAATGAATAATCGTTATCTCGATATATGCTTACGAGTCGTCAATTGTGGCATTAGCTAAATTCACGGTACGATAATTATATTATTAATGTTAATGATCACGGAGAGTCGTCGTGCTCCGACATCTTGTCGCGATCGCGTTTTGAACGATAAAGACGAATCTACATAAGACGCAGGACTGTTGGAGGCAGGATTGCAGGTCGTAGACATAAACGCGAGATGACGTTTTATCACACGCAGCGTACACGTATTCGCAAATCGGCTATACGCGACGGCCGACGAGTTGAACTAACTTTCTACGTTGCGTCGTTGCAAACGATCGCGAATGCGTACACGCTGCGTGCGATAAAACGTCATCTTGCGTTCGCAACTGCGTCCTACCTCCAGCGTCTTATGTAGACCGGCCTTTATTAATGCCACGACGGAGCGAGGCTGACTACTTCAAGTCTCGCGAACATAAAGCGAAGGTTGTATGTTGCAAAAGAGCCGTCGATTCATTATCAGGAAATGTTTGATACAGGAGATAAAACGTAAAATACATGTATGCTGTTTCTCGAGCGACTTGATTTGCAAATCATGAGTTACTTCGCGTTTTCAATCTCATAACGGCAGGAGAAAATTACATTAAAAACGCGAAAATTAGGAAATCAACGAAAAATGTATTCAAATCCGAATGTTGCGAGAAAATAATTATCAAAAAACATGTATAAGTATCGAGAATAAATAATTTACAATTCCACTGTCCTTCGGTTTTTATCGCAAGCAAATGAGTTTCTCGTGAGATATTTATCTGTTAGAAACTCGTCGTTTCAATATAATCGAATCTACGGAAATCATGCAAATTAATCGATTGTAGGGAAGAGATGCTCGTATAGGAAGTGATCGCGTTTACGCCTTGTACCTGCCGTGAACACGTCTCAAGAGATAATGTAATACGCGGAGCAGCACGCGCCGCTACTTATCTGTTCGAGTCCCGACGCACAAATGATAGCGGCTGGCCTTGGCGCGGGGCCCGAGGGCGCGGAAGCGCGGGAGCGCGGCGACTTTGTATACAACGCGTTGTACGTTGTATGTACATATGTACGTTATGTTATAATAACAGAAGCCAACGCTGCGTACCAGCGGAACTGTTATCGTCTCGAAATATTTAATGCTTTATAAATTCGCCAATTATCCTGTTCGCCGCTTGTATTTTAAATTAAGCTCGATAAATGTGCTATTTTGAGACATCGTATGCTTCGTTCTGTGGACTTATTAATATTGTCGTGAATGATGATTAATTTCATTCGATCGAAAGAACGTTCCGAATGGAAATATTTTATAGTATCGAGTATTAAATTTTCAATAAATTGAGAATTTATTTCAATCTGTTTGATACATGTATATAAATGTATATTATTGTTAGAAAATTTTAACTTAACCGTTACGTAAGAATAATTTAAGTACTTATTTATTCACTATTCCATTTAAACATTAAAGATAAAATTTTTTTTGTTTTGATCGAAAAGCAATTTATATAAAAATTAATTTATTCCTCAATCAAATCGCAATTACAAATATAATAAAACAAATATCAAATTGATCTCAAGATTTGTTAAACTGTACCATGTCTCAAGACTGGTTTAGACTGCGTTTTCAGCAGAAATATGACTATAGAATAGACTTGTTTTGCGAATACATTTTAACATTGCAATTTTAATAAAAAAGAAAAAAAAAGCTTAATAAATTTACTTGCATTGATATTATTAATATTTATCTGTATGCATTTTGTAATTATATAATCTTACTGGATAATAACGTATTAAAAAGATTAAAACACAGAAAAATTTAATCTATTAAATTGAGTTTTGCAATTATATATGGCTCTTAGAATTATTTATACAATTATTTAATAAAAAAAAACTCATGAAATAAAATAAAACATGCAAATCCGTCGGTCGTCGGAAACGAGTAAAAACGAGTAATGCTGTACGGAGGTACTAGCATATAGCAAACAAACTCGATTATAAATAGGGATTCTATTACAGCGGCTCGTAGGGCTTCCCAGAGCGTTGACATACTTGAAATAAATCCAATTTTATGTTGAGCGCAGCAAGAAAGTTTTCCGTACGTCGCGTCGGCATCATTTCGAAGTCGATTACTCTCGGATTCGAAAGCGCCACGCATTTTACTTCGTTCTCTAACATCGACAGATTCTGATTGTCTGAATTCTCCCGGATTTGTCGTGTGCAGACGCTATATACCCTATATCTAATATATTTTGTTATTCTAGCTTTTCCCCTACGATCATTCATCATTCATCAGAGAATCCATTTACCTAATGCTATTAGAATAGCACGATCGATCGATAGCATATGAGGGAGAAGACCACGCATTATTGCGATTAATAATATCACCCCATGCTCAAACTGAATAATAAGATCGACATTTTGTTGCGTTTTACTTTCATTAATTTTAGATTAAATATAATTGCGTAAATTTTAATTTCACCATACTGATATATCATATAATAGTAAAATGATCAATGTCTAGTAAAATGTAAATATCTCACAATTCTTGACAATAAGATAGACAGAGGCAAGACAGACACATTTTGCATATTTCGCAGAGTGCATTAATGCCATGCGCAAAATCGCAACTCGAATTTATTTTACTTTGAAATAGACGCGCCGGGGGTTAAATTTAACAAGGGAAGGATCTCTCTTTCGGTTCGTCCTGCCTGGATGGATTCATCCAAACGGCGCGCGCGCGCGCGCACGCAAACGATTTGCCCTCTCGTTGAGAAACTTTAAGACAACTCGTTACGAAGCGACCGTCGTCGTCGCCGTCGTCGTTCGCCGATTTCAACCGGCCTGACTGTTTCGCGAACGTCAAATCCTCGGAGGCTGTAAAGCAGACTTTGCGCTTCGCGGGAGCACTGTTGAACGACGTCATAATAATGATAATTATTATTATAAGTTTGTGCAAGACGTCTGCGCGTCACCCAAAGTTTGACGTTAATGCGGCACCGTGCGGAATTAACGTCGACTTGGTCTTCTCGAGACTTGATTCTCTGAGATTTGCTCTCGCAACGATCCGCGCGAAGATATTCCGGTTTAGCGAGTTAATACGTAACAACTAGTTTCCATGACGAATTTAGTTTGTCGGGCATTCAACATATCCGATGGTGAAAGAAGCAAAACTACGAGAATTGTTTGAAACTCGCGACATTTTCAGCGGCCATTCGAAACTCATCTCTAGCACACGATAAAAATGATATCACGATCTTTTTAGTTGAAATAATATTACTGAAATTGTCTCGCAAGTTTTATTCTATAAAAATTCAGCAGATTGCACCCGATCAAATAGAAATATTTTCATCGTCCGCCGCAAATCACGTTTATGGACTAAAAGAGGAGTTTTGGACTCTGCGGTTGAGATCAAAATGGCTGAAGTGGATATTATTTCTAGCTTGAGAGCGATATGATGAAAAATAAACTGGTATACGTTCTCATTGCTGTATGTTAAATCTATCGTGCGCCTTCCGTCATTTTCTGTATCTGTAAAACACGTCGCGATAAATTGAGTTAAACTATAATGTCAATCACGTTATTCGCCGTTACCAAATCGCGCTTATTGTTAGTGCCGCAAAGTGCACGGTCAATAGAGAGAATTTACACCGAGCGCACACCGAGCTTCGAATGTGCATAAATGAAGAAATTAAAATAAAAGAAAGGAAAGAAAATCGATTTCTTTTCATATTACTCCGACAAATTTCGATTAAACGACGCCATTACGAAATTACCGCGGGCACATGGTCACTCGCCTTACCATTCGGTATTATCCGTTAATGGAATGCGCGAGCTTGCGGTAGGTCTATATACACGAATGGCTCCTGAATGAATCGAATGCGCGCGTAATGATTAAAAATCCGCGCGAAAATGAACTCTTTTTGCGACCTAAACTTCACAGTCGTGAATAAGTTTTCTTTTTATATTACTCTAACAATCTTCTTTCGTTTCCTGCGCCGCACGATCGAGCCTGCTTCTACGTTCCAGAACCGATAAACTCGTCTTGTGTCACTGATAATTATCTTTTCCATTACCGCAAAAATGAATAATATAGTTCCATTATATCGGCGAGGCATTGTCCAGTGAATAAAGTGCTTGCAGCCAGACAGACCTTGATTAAGATGGCTCGATAATTGACACGAGGTCAACCTTTCTTTTTTGCCAACTGAATGAAAAACTGGTTATCAAAATCTAATATTATAAAGTCACGACGGGGATATCCCGCTGTCCACGGTTAATTTAATTTCGCTCGCTACATTTCCTCGATTCATCGCGCGATCCGACGATATAGTCGTGAGTCATCGCTAGCTGACTATAGCCGCTCAGAATTATCGGTCGCACGAGGCATTATGGGAGCAACTGCGCAAAACATTAAAGTAGATAATTTATAATACCGTGTCGACTTGAGGAAATTATATGAGTTCTGCGACCTTTCCCTGTATCGATCCTAAGACCACCGACGGCGACAGTTCGTTGGCGCTAAAATATTCCGCAATAGTGACTTGGGCAACAAAATCAATTCAGATCCGAAAAAAAAGATTCATTTTATATGAATTTTACAGTGTGTTACCATAAATAAGTAACTTGAAATGAACATATGATTCTTAAACAGAACTGCTCTTCATTAAAGTTAGAAGAAATAGGAATATTTAATTATAATTAATTTATCTATCTAGAAACGTGAAATTTGCCAACTTTCACTGTTATCATTTTTTTTTATTATTCGATTAACGTACCACTTTCACAGCTTCTCTTGCTTTGCGTGCGGCTTTTTTTAACTCACCTGCAACAGAATAAATATCACACAGTTAGACACAGATACATCGAAGGTACATATATGTAAAAAAAATATATATATATATTTTTTTTTTTTTAAATTGTCGAGTGTAATCGAGAAGTGTGTTTGAAAAAGAAAATTCAACGTCACAACACGCGAATATCACGTGACCCATCAACCTTTTTTTTTTCCCTTAAAAGGCTGTCGTTTTCCTAAGGTTAAATAACGTTTTGGTGTGGACATTTAACCCCTCACATGCAGCCGCGCGTATTCTACCCGGAAAACCACAGACCGTTCTTGAATTTCAATTCGCGTCGAGCGTATTATCGTGCGCGGCGCGTTGCCGGCACGTAGCAACCCCTTCGATTCTTATCGCCGCCTTGTAACGTATTGCGAAACTATAATAATTACACAGCGTTAAGCTAAA